GAAAAAAATGAATCCAGGGAAGTGCTGGGACAAGGACTGGAAGCATGAATTAGTTGATCATTTACAGTTGGAAAATCTTTCAGCTACTAGCTCTGCTGGACTTTTAATACAAAAGCTTCAATATCCACCAAGGTGGAAATTAAATACCTAGGAACATTTGAATAAAATCTTAGTCAACTGCCAGTTGTACAATCTACTTCATCTCAAGATTTTATAGTAAAAATATTTTGCAAATGACAAGGTCGAGTAAAATCGGCAGAACCTTAACTCTAATCTTTCATATCGCTGTGTAAAAGTTTTGACCCAGTTTCAATGACTTGAGCTTGAGTTCACAAATTAAAGTTTTATCACAATATTTTATGGTAATATTGTGATAATGACAAAATGATAATAAAAACTATTCATTACTTCTCTGCTAGATAACTGTAAGGCTGTGACAGCATGACTCATCAGTCACAGCCTCAAAAGCACAAATACTGCTCTGGAAAACATATGCATTTGTAATACGCTCAAATAGGACACTAGTCACAAAAAGAAGTGTGATTTGTGTCACTAACATGCATACAGTAGCAGAATTAATTCAAATGTATTAATCAGTATTTATTGTTACGTATGTCATTAAACTAACAGTAAATAAACTAGAAAATAAATATAAATATTTTTCATTGGAATTTATTGCAACTGCAATAAATCAGAATTCATATCATACAAAGAAATTTATTGTGATAAATAACAAATGAGACGATAAAAGTCCATCCTTATTTCCAACTCATCCAAGCTATAAAGCATACAAACAGCTTCAAACAAACACAAGAACAATGTTTGACTGGTATTTATGTGTTTTATTTTGTGTGTGTGTGTGTGTGTGTGTGTGTGTGTGTGTGTGTGTGTGTGTGTGTGTGTGTGTGTGTGTGTGTGTGTGTGTGTGTGTGTGTTTTAAAATGGTGTTTTATTCTGGGTGTAACAAGATTCACATCTTCCTAAAAGTTAGATTTTTTTTTTTTTTATCTCATCCACCCACTTATAGGAAGCCTTGGGTATCATCCAGATGTTTTTTCACCAACGTGATACGGACTTGGGTGTAAATGCAGGAATTTACCTCAGATTTCCTACAAATCTAGTTTTTTTTTTTTCTTAGATATGATATGACCAGGTTGAGTCAGATAGCATTATAAAAAAATAAGAATCATAATAATCATAAATGAATTAATTTGAAAGTTACATTTTGTATTTACCTTGGTGACCTGTGTCTGAAATTAAGATCTGAAGCTTTCAAGCAGAGACAGGAAAGATCTGTAGGGGCACAAATATATACTCTTTGCTGTGTTTATGTGACAGGTTGATGGTATCAAACTACATAAATACTCAATTTAGAGTGGGTTGTTTCCTAAATTACCTAAATACTGCATCTAGTTTACGTTTATGATTATTTTAATGCATGAACTATCCAAAGATACAAGTTAATTGTATTACACAAACACAAAAACAGTCCTCTGAAAGTAGTCGGATGCTAGACATAAAAATTCTAATTAATTAATTAGCTCTATATTAGAATTTCTATGGTTCATAAGCCCAGACAAGGAAGCAAGGAAGGCGACGAGCTTGAGTAGATAACAGATTTGGAGTAGATATTGCCCTTTTTGCCCATCTCAATGGTATTTTCAGATTCTGATTCATTTTTAAATAATTATGTTTAGTAACTTTATGGTCTAATTCACAGGCTCTACAACAGAGTGTGCACTGGATACACCGGGATCGTGCTGAAGGCTGTTGGAGCGTTAGCTGTACTGGTGGTGATTTACGTCATTGGTTATGTGACAGGATATTATGTCCATCGGTGCCCAAAGTAAAGAGTGTTTGAAATTTTGTGATATTGTACATTGACCTAACCAGAGCACTGTCTGCAGAATACAGAATAATATTTTTTTTCAAGAAATTGGAAAATTAAGAAAATTACAGAAAATATTTTTGATTGAAATGTAATCCCTATTGTACGAATGTATTTCTTGGATTTAGCATGATGTACTTTTGACACTTTACTTGTAGTAAAGTGCAGTTAAAGTTCAAATAAAAAACTACTGACACGATTTTAAGAATAAAGGGCTTACATAAATGATGACGTGTAGCTGCATTTTAACATGTAGTGTCAACAGATGCTAAACATTGCATTGTGTTCTGTTTATTGTGTTCATGAAATTACACACAACAAAAGACTTCCCAAAGTGGGAGGAAATAAAATGCATTTGCCAACTGTTTCCTCTATTTGTACATTTTTAGAATTTCCAATCTGGCAGCCATTTTTAAACTGGGCATTGATTCCTTGTGGATTAGACTTTTGGTTCAGTGTGGAAATTAAGGAGATGAGATTAGATTTATCTGCAACAACAGATACATTGCTTGACCTTTAACCCTTAGCTGGTTAAAGGTCTCAAGCAACGTGATCTTTATATCAGTACAGGAGAACCATCATCACTCAGGATTTGAATGTACAATTACGATTACTGATCAAATAACTATAAGAAAGGTTGAACAGCCCTGAGTGACAACTGACCTCTAAACTAAGGTTTGCAACAAAAATGAGAAGGAAAAATAACAAGTATTGTATTCTGTGTTGACCACTACCTTAATATTGAAATTATAGCCCAGTCCACAAAAACACGTTTGGATTTGTTTTGTTGCAAAAACCATTTGAATAATCTTCATATGTGCATAAACATACATAGATTATTTATATGTGCTTGTGAGTCTGAAGGTGCTTGCTTTTAGATTTACATTTTAGAGAAAAACTAAAATAACTCAAGTTGTTTTAGTTTAAACTCACGTATAAATTAGGTAACCCAGTGCTTGCAAAAGTGTGTATACACCTTTTTTACATTGTCACATTACAATCACAAACTTCAATGTATTTTGTAGAAATGTTATACATAGAGCAACATAAAGCATAAAGCAGGGAATAATTGGAAAGTGAGAGGAAACTGATACATGTTTTAAAAAAAAATATTTGATGTCATCTTTCTCTTTTTGGATTTACAGCTGCAAGCTTTTGGGAGTCTCAAATTATTGCATATCATTCTTTGCCACAAAGACCAAGCTGAGGCAGTGGATGGACAGCATCTTTAAAGTTAATTACATTCTCTAGTTTGCTACAGATTTTTAATGGGATTTAGTTTCTGGAGTTTGACTAGAAACATTCATGTATTTTGAATGCTTAAAGTTGTTTTCCTGCTAGAAGCTAAACATTCACTCTAGTTCTTGATGTGATTGATGAGACATTATCAAATTACCTAAGTACTCAATTTAGAATGGGCTGTTTGCTGAATGTCCTCAATACAGCACCTGTTTTAAGTTTATGATCATTTTAATGCATTAATTATTCATAGACCCAAGTTAATTGTATTACACAAACACAAAAGAGGTCTTCTGAAAGTAGCCGGATGCAAGACAGAAAAATTCTAATGAATTATTTAATCCTATATAAGAAGTTTTATGATTCCAGACGTAACTGGAAGGAATGAAGGCTCTGAGCTGAAAAAGAGAACAAAACAAACACCTTGGTGGGGTCACCACTGCAGACGGAAGTATAAAGATTGAGTAACTAGGTTTTCTTCAGTGATTGCATATCCATCTACCCAATAAATTTCCCAGCTCAAGAAAAGCATTTCCACGCTACCATGTTTCAGTCCTTGTTTAAGTGTTGCTTTAATCATGTTCTAGTAGCAAATCAGCAACAAAAGAAACGCATTTTCCAGTTTTTATGCTCATGACCTGGAAAAAATATTTGCAGCAACCCATGCTAACACCAACGTATGTCTCTGTTTTATGCAAACAAAGACACAACCCCAACATGGTTTCTAACCAGACGGACGGGTTTCTAGCAAACTAGAGAAGTTAGAAATCATTCTTGGATTTCTAACTTCACTGGGGCTTTATGCTTATTGTTCCAACTTGGACAGTTTTACTTCATTCTTGTAGTTAAATAGAATTAACATATAGATAGGCATTCATGTAATTAACATATATTGTTGTAGTGCTTGGAAAACTTTGGATTTAATGAGGTTATATTTGTTTAAAAATGCTTTGAACTACTGTGTGACTATTAGTGGTAGGAGGCATGTATTATGTAAAAACGTTATTTTTAAAACGTTTTTTTGACGGAGGAACAGAACAAACCTGTTCCATCATTGAGGACTTGTGTAGTTGTAATTCACTTCCTGTATCTGTGGGGAACTCCGCCATGGTGACGTCACAGTTCTCAGACGTCGGAGGAGGAGGAGGTGGTGGTTTTAGTGGGTCTCCTCCGCTCAGCCAACTCCACGGCGTGTTTGAGAAAAATGAAACATGGATGAGGGGTTCACCGAAAGTCGGGAGGAAGCTGCCCATTGTGGGGTAAATAATTAAACACACAGCATGATTGTGGTTTTATGTTATTATGCTTTGAGGACCTCCGTAATTCGGACGGGTTTCCCTGTAGAAGTTATCTCATCGCTGCTAAGTGTCAGTGACTCCCACGGGCCAACAATGTGGCTACAGCTAATGCTAGCTCGAAAAAACTTAGCTAGTCGAGTAACAATCGTCACCTACTTAGTTCACTCTGTATCAGACTTAATTAAGTGTGTCAGCCTGACTTGCTTAGCATTTTTGTTTAAACCGGATAAAACATATGCCGTTCTTAGCTAAGAATGATCAGCTAACGCGGCTAGGTGAAACTGCTAAGGCTAATGCTAACTAACGTAATGCTATGTTGCCTAGAGCCGCTTTGAAATTTTGACAGCTTATTTTGGGTAAATAAACACGACACTCGATTGTTTTCTCTCTTCTGTTCAATTCAACAAGTAAATCCTAGAAGTAATAACTTAAGAGATTTTAGACGGCGAGAAACAAGCTCTGTTCGTCTGACAAGAGTGAAACTGTTTTTTTAAATAATAAAGTCAGAAAGAAATCGGATTTGTAAAAGTTACAATTAAGTCATTAATTTATGTTTAATAAAGTTAGCGAAATTTCTACGCAATACTTGGACATGGAAAGAGTGTTGAGTAACCCCCTTATGTTGTCAAGTAGCCCTGAGTAGGAGCTACTTACGTTACCAAACTGCTCCTTCACTTTTTTTCAATCTTAACTTTATTTGTTCAGTGTTTGATTACAAAAATAATCTAATCATTTTTGCGACCTTTAGTTTCTAACATGCAAAGCCATGTGTGAGAAAGGCAAAAATAACTTTAGGCAGATTAACAGTATTTTTAACATCTCAAAGCTACAAACAAATTTTATTACACCACGTTTTAAATTAAGTCAAGATCATTAATGTAGGTTAGACATTTTTAAATCAGATACTATGCTAGGCGAATACTTGTTGAATTTACCATTTAAGTTAAGTTTCTACATTTAGCTGAAATTAACAAGCCTATGTCACAACACTTTGTGAGGGTACAGTTAGATAATTTAAGTTATGCTCCCCTTTACTGTACATTCACAATATCACAGTATATGAAAATGTATTATTATTATGCTGTCTGAACCAGGTAGCATAATAATGAGTGAAATATGTTCAAATAGTGATGTCCAGTCATGATTTATAACAATTTGTTGATGCTGATTGCTTACAGCTACAGATATAGTTGAGAACAATCTTGCCACACAATTATGGTGTTTCTCCACCAAAACAAAATCTTGTAAAGTGTCATTTAGGTGTCCTGAAATATGGTGATAAATAAAATGCATTATTATTATTATTATTATTGTTCTTATATTGTTATTATTGTACTTTTCAACAACTGCAAGGAGTTTTTGTTTGCAGAAAACCTAAAACACCGAATACTTGTGCATTGTTTGTCACAAGACGTGACATTCAACTTCATAAGCACAGATTGAGACCTGGGAACAGCACTCCATTGTGCTTCTCAATTTTTTTATATTTAGCTTCTAAGGAGAAAGAGAATTTTATGAAAGTAACGTTTAGAAATAGTTCTTCAAACTTCCTGACTGGATGTATTTTGGTCAAGGAAGTGATTGAAATTTAATTTAGTGATTATGGCTGAAAAGTATTTATTTTCAGAAGAATTTATTTCTGCCCCTTACAGCAGAACTTAGAACCAACACATACAAATGACGTGTCTTGTCTTTTTAGAAATAGGACAACATCCAACCAAGAAGCGACTCAAGACCTGAATGATGTTCCTGGCCCACCAGCCAAGCCGTTCACTGTTTGCCAAAGCTTGATCAAAAATGGTCCTGGTGAAAGGGCGGCTGCCATAAAATAAGTTTTAAAGACGTAAAACAGGGAGGAAAAAGGTGCGTATGGTGTTATTTGTTTAAAAAAAGAATGTGTTGTATTTTAATGAATCTTTTGTTAATGTGTTTCAGAGTCAATCAGGAGTGTATTTTTTTAGCCATATGTAAAAAAATATAATTTTTGTGCTTTCTCTCTGCTAAGCAGTTTTTTTTTTCTTTGGATTGCATCAACTGAATAAATTCTTGTTGGGGGGAAAAACTACCTTCAGCTTTCAGATGCACCTTCCAAGTAATTAAAAAATGGACTCAGTTGAACATTGAAGTCATTAACTATTTTTTAATGACTTCACTTTTTTAAGTAGCATGTGGTTTTCTTTCCGTGATGCTTTGCTTTGCCTGTCACCAAACTTGAAGTAGCGATTTCTGCGAACTGTAATTCTGTTTGCCCATAATAGTTCAATTCAGTTAAAGAATGAAAAGTTTGGTTCTGCCAATATTAACTTTAAAGGTCAATATTTGTAATTACCTTACCAACGTAATATAATATTCCTGTCTAGTTTTTTTTCCCTGTTAAATTGGAATGATTTTTGAGCAGCACTTTATGTCCAACGTTGGCTAACTGGACACACAGTGTATGACTTGGCAGCTGTCCCCTTGTGTATAAATAGCTTGTAACAGAACCCCGCTTTCCATCCTCTCCCCAGCTTTCTACCTACTTTGCTCTTTCCTGTCCCAAATCAATTTGATGTTTGTTCTCATGAATTCCTGTTTGCCCTACTTTCCCCTCAGGAAATGGAAAAACGGTTAGAAGAGAAGCTTCGCATCAGCCAGAGAGAAAAGTAAGAACCTTAAAACGCTCAAGTTAACGACCTAAAGACGCAGTTGAGCCGCTTGTTTGCTTGACTTTGAGCTGAAACCGCTGCGTCGCTGCTTGTCATTGTTTACAACTGAACATCAGTTAAACCTTTCCACAGTAGTGGCATTTTTCAACGTTATGTATGAAATCTCAGCCACGTTAGGGAAAAAGTTATGCTTAGTAGTGTTGGAGTGTTAATACACAGGCCTGTCACAATAACACATTTTGCTGAATGATTATTGTGATAAATGATATTATTGTTTGGAGATCATTTTCAAGTAATATAATCCTAATGGCACATTAATGCAAGAACACCTTTAAAGTCTAATGAACATTGAACACTGGAACTGGAAGACATTTTAAATATCCAAAATAAATAAACAAAACAGCAAATCAAATGAATTATGAAGTCTCTGTAAATAAAATTGTCCTTCGAGAAAAGAGCTAGTTGAGTTAAATATACCAGACTGAAGACTTTTTCATCTAGTTTTTGGTAGAAAGAGAGAAAAGACAAAAATGACCAATTATGCAATTGGAAATTATTGAGCTAGTTTTAATTTACTATGCGATTAATGGATATATTGCGACAGGCCTGTTCATATTCAGAACAAGATTCTCCTGTTATGTCTTCTGACACTTCAGTGGATTTGCATTTGATGAGCATTAAGACATTCACCCCAATGCTGAAAGAAGCTGTTTGTTGGTCCTGTTTTTATCACTAAATAATTTGGACCGAAAATCTGCATGATAAAGATTTGAACCTTTGAGTGAAACTAAAAGAAAAAGTTCCCAGACGGGAACTTTTTGTTACAGAAAGCTGACTAAGACAGGACAAGTTAAATCAAAGAAGGCTGTAGTTCCTTTTAGCTCTAAATCAATTGTGCATGTTTATTTCTCTCCAGGGAGTCCAGTAGCTCCGCCCGATCACCATTAAAGACCACCATGGTGATCCAGGACAACTCTTTACCAGCAGGACCCCCGCCTCAGATCCGCATTTTGAAGCGACCAGCAAGTAATGGGTCATTAGCATCGTCCATGAACCCAAACAGGCCCACTCCGCAGGTCAAGTCTCTGGCCCAGCGCGAAGCGGAGTATGCCGAGGCCAGGAAACGAATTCTGGGTAGTGCCTGCCCAGAGGAGACTCCTCAGGAAAAGCCCAACACTGACAGGTAACGATGACCAATTTGAGGTCCAGAAACTTTGTGCGGTGGTACGATGTGTGGCTCGGTACGCTGTTCTGTCTGTTTCCATTGTGAAAGCAGCAGAGCTAATGTCGACGTCACACAACACAACCTGATTGGTGGACAGAAAAGTGTTACTGTTAGCGGCAAGCAAGAGACCTACTACTGTGTCTGCATTTGGGTTCAACCCTGTGGTGGAAACAGTCTCTTGAAAACGCCAGAAGCATAAAATAACCCATTCAAGCCGCTGGTGGATGTGAGGCATTGGTTCACTGGGACCAGAAAGACAGTCCTGAGTTATCCCATAACCCTACAAGGCAATTTGTTGGATATATTCGCCCATTTGTTTATAAACAGTTTTGTTTTTGGCTCTATTACTAAGTGCTTATCAGAGAAAGTAGGTTGAATGACTTGGAAAATATCCAAGTACTTTTCTCTCTTAGCTTCCTGTTGGTCACATCTTTGTATGCTGTGCATTAACTTTTAACAGGACAATCATTTTAAGACACAATAATCTTTCACATTTAGTTCAGATCATATCTTTTTTTTCCACTCTGTCTACAAACCTTTTCATTTTAATTGCATTCTTGAATCAGAGGGAAACACTAGAAGTGTTTCAAACCCTACAGTACTGTATTAATAAAACGGTCAGAAGGAGAAAAAAAGAAAAGTAAGAAAATAATCAAATAAAACTTGTATCTTGGGTTTCAGTTTCATTACAGATCTTTGTCTTGATGCCCAGTACTGCTATTGGTATGTTGGTGCCCTCTAGTGGCAGGCTGAAGACATTTTCATGCGATTGACCTTTAATTTGAGGGTGAACTGATTGGGACACAACAGGGTTATGCTGTTGTTTTGTTATCATGTTTTCTTAACTCACTCACATATACACTGATGAATTAAATAGTTTTATCACCAGAACCAAAGCTGCATACTTGGCTTGACAAGAACCTAAAATCATTCACAAACACAGTGTTAGAGGTGATCGAATTGATGTAATGCAGGTCTTTTATTTGTTTTAATACTTGTCATACAGATGACCAAATAAGCAAAATGGTGTGAGTAGAGACTCTTAAAGCACTTCATTCTTTTAAATGTAGAACAAAGGTGGTAATTTTAGAGCCAACTCTTCTTGTGAAGGTGGAATAAGGCTTAAAAAGTTGGAGAACATTTTCGGAATAGCTGTGAATGTCTGGAGGCCTGTTTGATTGATTTCAAATGGCTGAAAAAAAAACCCATTACTTTTGAGAAACGTTTAAAATCGATGCATAGTAACATCCATTACTACCTCGGTAAACAGTGTGACGTCAACGTTCTGCTTCTGTGCTTTGGGGTCGTAGACTGTTCACACAGAAGTCTGATTGCGCTCGCTTTCGATTGGTAGCATTAACGACCATGTGGGAAAAAAAAAGTTGGAATTGAGCTACGAGAGTATAATAAGCATTAACTGTAGCAGACGCAACGCGGGGGGGAAAGAAGCCGCCGTGTCCTAATGTCTTCTTGTTTCCTCTCATTTCTTCCCCCAGGCCAGTGCGCAATAATTCCACAATGCCTTCAGAGGACACCAGATCAAACAATCACACTGTCCGGCAGCCCGCCGGCCCAGACGGCACCCAGGGGTTCCGCCAGCACAGATAAGCGGGTCTCTGGGACGCCCCAGCCATGGAGGGGAGGGGAAGAGAGAGATTAAGAGCCACCTGAGATCAAACGCAGCACCGTATTTTATAAACTTCCTCCCTTCGCTTCCCTCATATCAGCCAGCCGGCGCGGCTCTGTGCCCCCCTTTCACTCTCTCAGCCGGGCGGCGAATCAGCCGGGGAACGAGGAACTCCAGCAGGAAGTGGGAGCTGACGTGAGCTCTTCTCTCTCTCCCCTTTGCTCATGTTTATTCGGCACTGTGATTATGGACTTATTCTGGACTCACTGTGATGATCCCGGCCCCTTTAAGAGACGCCCCTGGCCCCCCTCCCTTTTTTTTTTTTTTTTTTTTTTCTGTGTTCTGTCTTGGGATGTTAAAAAAAAAAAAAAAGCAGAAGCAAAGACTCGAACTTGAGCAGTTCAAGGATGAGGTGAAACGAGGGGTCATATCAAAACTAAATCGGCTGGTTCTTGTACAGCAGCTTCTTCCCAGCAATAATAGCAGACATTTTCTTTTCCTTTCTTTTTAATCACTTGTCTTTACACAAGGCGTGCACTGATATCTTTTGAATGCAGATCCCAGTTCTTAACACACCACTAAGCCTGTTTATTCAAACAGTATTAGATTTTAAACTTTAAAGCAGGAATTGAGAATCCAAGTCCTCCACCGTCTCGTCTGGCGGTAAAAACGAAGCCGAGATGCCAAGAACGGTTCAAAATATCAGTGCACAACCTCCTATTGAAAGAAACTGCCGTTTGTTTTTAAAATCAAAGGTCAGGGGTTACGTGTGTCAAGTTATGTACATGGCAAGTTTTTTGTTTACTTTTTTTTAAGCTTTTAGCTGTCTTCCTTCGCCTACTTTCTATTTAAGAGTAAAATAGGATGAACAGGAGAGAACGGATCCAAGTTGGGTTTCAAGTAGCTTTTCTGCCCTTTTTTTATATGAAATTACAGTATTTAAATAAACCTAAAGGCCCCCTTTAAAAAAAACAAAGTTTTTATGATTTGAAAATGGTGTTGGCAGGAATCCTAGTGACATTTTTAGATGCATTTTACTGCTGTCCTGTTTCCACCCAGTCAGTGACGTTTCTTCACAGCTTCCTACGAAGTAAAACTTAGGAACTCAGGTCCATGTGAATGAGACTGAATGAATGAAATGAACGAAGATTGTATTTTTCCAGCGGGTTTTGTTTTCTCAGAAGACTGGTGTACCGTATTTAACTTATGGTGGTCGGCACTTAAAAGCGGTGCTCTGTCGAGCTTAATGTAACAGAGGAAAAGGAAGAAAAAAAGAGTTGCTGTCTCAAGGAAAGTCATTGTTTGTTTTTTTTGTGTTTGCATCTCGGTGTCAGACGCTGTAGGACGATGATCAACTGCTATAACAGAGCGTGAACCAGAGGACTCGACTGTGTGGCTTTCCAGGACCGCTGTGCCCAATAAACGTGTTTTCTCACCTTTAATTGTTCAGAGGAGATCTCAAAGCCATGCGACGTCGTCAACACAAAGACTTGTAAAGGGTGAATTCAGCTTGTGCCTCCTGGATCACATCTTTACTTTCTGGTTGTTGATTTTTATTCCTTTTTTTTTTTGTTTTTAAAAGAAAAATGAGTATATTTAAAGGGGGGAATTCTCAATATTGTTGAAGAGATTTTAGTTGAGGAAAAAAAATCTAGTGGCAGAGCAGGAACAGAAAATGCAAACTGCCTGTAAATACTGATTTAATAAAATGATTTACTTCAAATCAGATTTTCTCTGTGCATCGTCCGTTGTCTCAAACCGCCTGCTGACCGGAAAGAGAGTCATTTAAACATCTAGAAAACAGGAAATCTTTCCATTGTTTGTCATAATGTACAGTTGAGCAGGTTTACCTTTAGAAATTAGACATTTTTTATCCCTCACGGCCTAGAAGTAGGTAGTTAAACCAAACTTCTTATTTTGGGTCAGAATTACTAAAATTATTTCTATTTGCTAGTGGTGCACCAATTTATCAGCTAGTCAATTAATTGGCGCAGATTTCCTTAATTTTGGGGGATTGGCTGATACTTGCATGTGAAGCCCACCAGGTCATGTTTGCAGTTCAGTTACCCCACTGTTGCCCACTCAGCAACTTTCTATCTATATTTAGCAACGTTTCAGATGAAAAGAGTATCAGCCAAAATCGGAATCGGCCTGACCTGCTGATTCTGATCTGTAATTGGTAATCTGATTGTTGTGACTTTTTTACACTTATATGTTGTTCAGTATATTTTGCATAAGTGTCTGATTTACAATTATATGTCAAGCATAATTTACATGATGATTATTATTAATAATTGAATTGAACATGATTATATGCAACTACAAAGGTGAAGTGAAATATATTTAAGTGCAAGACATGATTTATTTGAATAGAGGAAGTCTCTTATTTTGAAGAATGCTTAAGGATCTGGTTCTGTTCTGTCACTATCTTGCTTTGTTGACTTTTGGTTGCTAGGTTACAAACAGCTGTCGCCGTTTTTCTCTTCAATAAAAACTGAACAGAAAGGTTCAGTAAAAGACATACGAGCTTCCGTCTTGTTTGAAGAAGCTTTACTCCGTAACACTGATCTTTAATCTGTAATTAAATAATAGGTCAGATTTATTAATGTCTCCAAATCAGTTTTACAGAATGATTGCTTAGTTTATATTCCTCCTAAATATGACAAGACTGATTTATCAGAGTAATGGTGCAAGTGTAGTTGATGGGATTTTTTCTAGAGGGTTGCATTTCTTGGACCACTCCATGCAATCATGCAATAGTTGTCTCTGATCAGCAGGATGTCTACAAGTCCTTATAGATATTGGTTGCTGTCTCTTGACTTCCTGGTTTGGTTTAAGAAAAACTCGTACAATTGTTCAAGAAATTTTAGTTGACAAAATCTACTGGTAGAGCATGAAAAGTTAGACAAAGTCAAGCAAAGGGCTGAAACTGAAAATGTACTGAATTTTCAAAAACCTTTACTAAAGATGCTAAATCATTACCCTTCTTAAACTTGATAAACATCATCATTTGAACACCCAGACAAAGCTATACATAAAAATAGCTTTTATTTTCTCCAGGTAAACATTGCATTGTTGGTCAATGAGGGGACGCTGTTTACAGCATCCAATGTGGTTAAAGCTCAGGTGAGTCCAGAGTTAGGCCAGGTGAGCGTTAGATGAAGGAGATGACTGTGCCGTTTGTGGGGGACAGGGTCTGGTCAAGTGGCGGCCATGATGCCGAGTCAGACAGCAGAGCCTTCAGACGTTTGTACTGCTTCTTGGATGGACGCCTCCCTCGCAGCAACCGGAGGGGGTTCAAAACACCCACATCTATCAGCAGCTGGAGAAGAAGAAAAAAACATTCATACGGATTAAAGCGTTGAGGTTTTTAGGAATTTCTTATGGTCCTGAGAGAGCCAAGTTTTCTTTTCCCCTCATGGGTTTTGCCAAGCATGAACAATGGACGACATGTTATAATCTTGTGCCAAGGCTGGTAAAAAGTCCAAAATAAAAACTAAAACTTTCAAAGTCCTCAAGAAAACCTAGAAGCTTATATGTAAAACATGACCAGAACTTTCTTCAGTTTTCCCATTCAGCTTCTTAAAAGCCTTTCTGGTTAGTTTCTGTTTTGCTTTTTCATTAATTTTGGATGAACATCGATTGTTTTACCAAGTCACCTGTATTTCCAAAGTTACTGACGGACTTCCCTGTAATATGGTGTTTATGTAATGCTGAGAGTTTTTAAAAAAATATTTCTCTAGACTGAAAACTTTGCGCATTAAAATCTTTTTATAATAACTTTTGCCAAAAGATGCAAATATGCCATCAAGAAAATCTAACTGGGACATCACAATGTTAGTTTTGTCTTACTAGACCAAAAAGTACTTGGCAAGACTGTGTGTTTTTACAGTGTAGAGTATCGACTTACCTCTACCACAAAACACACCAAGAGGTTGAGAGCTGCCATGGCAACGAGCAGCATCTTAAAGTTCATGTCGTTGAAGTCGTACAGTTGGAATAATCTCCTGAAGACTGGACCCGGATACAACACCAGAGAGGTCACCATGGCAAAATGGATCAGCAGCACACAGAGGAAGATCACTGGAAGGACGAGCGATCACACAAGAGCACGGTGAGAAAGGACAGCAAAGTTAAAGAAGTCTAAACTATTAACCTCCTCCGTCTTATCATTCCTGACTCACCATTATGATAGAGAGGTTTCTTGTGAGGAAAGCTCTTGGTGACTATCACTGCCATGATGATGTACTGGTAAGCGGATAAGGCAAACACGGACGTGTTCTCCATGTTGGGCAGGTTTTCTGCTCCAAATACTGTTGAATTTAGAGGAATATACCTAAAAAAAAAAAACCCACAATATTTATAAAACAAACTTTAAGTGTGAATCAAATGTTGACTCCTTGGAAATGTGTAAATATTGTCCTCAATGAAAAAAGAAAAAAAAAAAACATTTTAATTGGTAACAGTGGCTAACCATTCTTGTGTGGTGGTGATGAAGAACGCAGCCAGCTGGCCCAGAACGATGGTGCAGGTATGAATGAAGAGGCTGCCGAACACAGGAAGGGCCAGCAGGCTGGCCGGGGGTCTGCAGGGATGCAGCTCCTCACTGGGGCCTCCCCTCCCCATCACGATGGCCAGCATGGTCACCAGGAACAAATCACAGAACAGGAACTGCAGGTCAGCCATGGTTGTCTTCACCTGCAGGCAGAGGGCACTGAATTGTAACATAATGTCATTTAAAAATCCGAGACTGATCACATCTAGGATTGCCCAGGGCTTAATTCAATCTTATGTTTACCCTGGGTTTTTTTGTTGTTGTCGTTTTTTAGCTCTAGTGACCTTCATTCACCAGTAAATTGACAGAAAAAAAGGAAAGAAAAGCCCCGAGGCCAGGAATTGAACCCAGAACAACTATGATGAGGACTACAACCTCTGCACATGCTGCGCGAATTCTACCTACCGAGTCAAATGTTAAAAATATTTGATGAATGACGGAAAAATACGGTTGGAAAAATACCGTATTTTTCCGTCATTCATCAAATATTTTTTTGGTTTTGTTTAATTGAATGTTTTACTAGTATATGAATCATGCTAAACAAATAAACTGTATTGAGTAGAATAAACATTTTAAAGTAAACCATGCTTTTGAAATTGGTAGAAATATGAAAATGACATTTTCTGAAATCTTATGATTTCAGGAAATGAAAGTTACACAAATACACACAGGACAACCAACAGGAACAACATTAGAGAACATATGCATTTTATTCATTAAACTGTAAAAGAAAATAGTAAAGAAAATTCTGTTACACCAAGAAAAATATGAGACCTGGATCAACGTTTTCACTGAAATTACAAGAAGTAATGGATTTTATGTTGAAAAAGTGGGAGTTTCTTCGTTGCAACTCACTGTGTTCAGGATGAGGACGGAGCAGAACTGGATGAGGCTGTAAAGCGCCATGTACCTGAAGAGACTGAAGGACGTAACAAGAGAACATCTCCCCTCTCTGCAAAATAAACAAATAACATAAAAATGATTAATCTTCTACTGCCGCCACAAACGAAGGGTTAGTTCAGTTTTAAAAAGCTCATCCTCTGTTTCTCGTCTGACTCCTTCCTTTAGCTCCGCCTCGATCCTCACCTGATCAGCAGCGGGACGCAGCTGATGTTTTCCGTCTTCGAGGTGAAAGGCGACGCGACCGACGCCTCGGCCTCGGACAGGGAAACCCCGACGTCGGCAGCTCTCAGGGCCCCGCAGTCGTTGGCCCCGTCCCCGCACATGCCTACTCGATAGCTGCCAGAAAATTCATTATGAAGCATACATTATGACGCACCGTCAGTACGTCTCCAAGTTTAAACCAGTTTAAGCTCAGCTTCATCTGAGCGACAAAAAATATATTGCCAGTCTCAGCATAAATCTATACCAATCGATATACTGCAGCAGTGCAACAATTACACACAAAATTTTTTTTTCCATTTTAATCGTATTTTTCCGCTTTTATTACTCATATTTTATTGTACGTGTTCAAACGAAAAGCTGGACTTACTTCAGTTTCTGCAGCTCCTTCACCAGCTGGGTTTTCTGGTCGGGAGCCATGCGCGCAAATACGGTCGCTTTCATCAACACCTGCAGAAGCGTGCGGTAATGTCAGCCCTGGATTAATGAGTTCTATTATCGGGAAAGCTTTCTGCATGCATTGTAAAGTTTATATTACCTTCGGAAGATATTCAGGGAAGTGGTCGCAGAGGGCGGCGAAGGACT